GCTCAGTCCCAGTGGAAGGTTGCTCATCAATGGGGTTCTTGGGGCTGCACCCAGACACCACCAGCCTAGTGTGAAGACACTACACAATCGGTACATAAGCATTTTTTAAGCACCTCCTGTGTGACACTGAACCTACCCTGGGGGTTCAAAGAAAGGAAAAGATGGTCCCCGCCCTTGTGGCTCACAATCTGAAGACTAGTAAGGACATCGGATGCCTGCAGTGACAGAAGGGCAAGTTGGCTGGCCATGGATATCCCCTGGGTGTGCTCCTTACTCACTGAACTCTGTGTATGGGCTCGCTTTTCTCGCTCATGCTGTATGCATTTGGGGGAGAATGTGCCTTGGGTTTAAGGGGGGGGTCATAGTTACTATTTTTTCTATGCTTCTTAGTAAAACCATTCTTTATCTAGCTTATGTTGTACATTCCCTTTTGCTCCTTCTTTTGAGGACACCCTAGGCATGAACCAACCTAAGATTTAAGTAATTTCCCCGGGGTGCACTGAGGTGAGAGTTCAATGAGTCCACTAAACAAGAGAAGTTGACATTTTCCTGTGGAGATCAGGCTCCCCTAGGACTAAGCCCATGCCCGTGTGTGTGATTTCAGAGCTGAGGGATCAACATAATGGGGAGTGAGAGGGTGTAGCATTCCAGCCCCTTGGACCCAGCAGCTGTTGCTAGATAAATATCTATGGAGCACATGCAAATTGAATATAAGGAGGCAAGACACTACTTGTGGGAGGGAAAGGAGGAATCAGGAGAGGCATCCCGGGTGGTGTATGAGTTGAGTATCGAAGGAGACCAGGGGTGCCCAGAGGCGGAGATGAGGAAGGAGGGCCTTCCAGGCATGGGGGACAATCGGTTGAAAGTCAAGTAGATGGGTGATGGTGCATTGTGCGTTAAGAACAGCAAGTTAGGCTAGCATGGCTGGAGGGTAGAATAAACGGGTGTTAGAAAGTGTTGGAAGACTGGAAAGTTGTGAAGGGGCAGACGGGGAAAAGCTTTAAGTGCCTGACTGAGGAATGTTTTCCCTTTGATCCTAGAAGTGATAAGGAGCTATTCAGCACAGGAGCCGCGTCATCAGATTCACTCTTTAGGAAAAACTCTTTGCTTATTTTGTGGAGGATGGAATGGGGTGGGGAGAGATTTGAGGTGACCAGTAGGAAGCCACAGCAGCAGACAGAGGAGAGGTGATGAGGGCCTGAATGGGAGTGGTGGCGAGAACTGGACGCAGGCAAGCGATGTGGTGAGCAGAGAAACTGTAAGATTTTGAGGCTGACTTTGCAATGCCAGTTCCTATATTTAAACATTGTCTCCGATGCTATTGTGATTGTTACCTGTGAGACCTTGAGCAAATAATTTAACTTCTCTATGCCTCAGCTTCCTCATTGGGAAAATGAAGTGGGTTGGATGAGAGAACTTCCAAGATGCCTTCTAGCTGGAGATTTGAGAAGCTGTGGTCCTTGTTGAAGTGACTCTCCAATGGGGGGCTCCTGGGGGAGAGCATTTGGCCCATTCCACAGTCAGCCCTCTGAGGAGCCTCCAGTCTATGGGCTGAAGCTGACTGCTGCCCTTCCATCTGAGGACCTACACTGGCATAGATCCAGCATAAAGAACCCCTCAGCCCCCCTGGTGCTACTCCTCCATTGGACCATGTGTCTATTTCTCAGTGTATGGGGGCATATACAGTATAGATATGTATAGGCTTGCATATATACACATGCACACATATAGAGACATGTATATGTTGGTATCACCATGTATCTTTCTGATAGTATGAGCTTTTGGGGGTCACTGGGTGGGGCTGCAGCCCTTCCCCCAACCACATGGGACCCTTCCTCCGGGGGAGGTTGTGGGTGTCCTCTTCCCTGGGAGGAGCAGAAGTTTTTATCAGTGATGGAGGGCACAGGGAAGTGTCTGAGGCCTGACTGTGTCTGACCAGAGTGTGTGCTGTGGGGCACACAAAGGTGAACTGTTCAATTCTCTTTAATAAATAAACAGATTAGCAATTTCTGCTTGTAGGGAACATCCAGTGACCTAAGCCTGTGACCCCAAGTCTACCTCCTGGGTCCCCCACCCTCTCTCGCTTTGTCCCAGGGAAAGTGATGGCTCCAAATGAGATCATATATGTAAAAGATCTGGGACAAATATGGTGGTTACAGAGACATGAGAAGGAATGAGCCAATTTCTGCTGTCACTCTTTCTTCCCACTAACAATGACATAATTATGAAATCATTAGCTAGTTCACAGGGCCATAGAGCAAGACTTGCTTATAAATATACCTAAAGATTTCTGTGATGTCTTTGGAAACTCGGCAGATCGAAGCATGTTGTCTAAAATGCCAAGGAAGGGGGTGAGGAAGTCCCTCTTCTGCCCTTGTCAGATCACATCTGGTATCTTGTGGTCATCTCTGGGACCCCATTTTCAGAAGAGCCTTGGTAAGCTACAGAGCAGCCAGAAGAGGGTGAGGGTCCTAGATATGATGTCCTATGTAGCCTGCCCGAGGAAAGAAATGAGGGAGGTTGAATCTGGAGAAGAGACAGAGGGGGCATGACAGCCACTGGGACAGGACTCCAAGACTAGGAAAGGACAAATTGGTACATTTCAAAAGACAATAGACGGTGGATCCTGCTGACCAGGGGCCTTACCTATGAATGCTAGTCCTGGCAATATTCTAGAGTGGACAGTTAAGAAGAGGCTCAGTGAACAACTAGGAAAGGAGGAGAAATTGTAAATAGCCAGCATGGCTTAATAAAGCATCAACCATGCCAAAATAACCTTTTATTTTATTTTTTTTAACAGGGTAACTAGACAGATAGTTCATGGCAATGCTGCAGATATGGATAACCTAGGTTTGAGCAAAGCACTTGACGAAGTCTCTCATGCTCTTTTTATGGAAATGAAGAAGGGTTATGAGTGAGGCATTACACAATTGGGTGGATTCAGGACTGGTTGAATGGCCAGACTCAAGAGATTGTCATTAACATCAGCATTTTCACTCAGATGGAGGTCTCCAGTGGAGTGTCTCAGGTGTCTGCATGACCCTGTGGCATTTAAAATTTTTTATCAGTGATTTGGATAAAGGAACCACGATAGTCCAAAAAACATCTTTTAATTTCTTTGGCCTGAGACTTATGGGCCTTCTTTTTGGCAGGCTGCCTCTACTCTGGTCCCATCTCTTCCTGCTGCCATTTTCTAGAAACTTTCATGTCCCATGCTGGAAATTTACACGCGTAGGATCAAAGGGCCTTACCAGTCAATTCTTAGCACCTGTTTGTAGCAACAGAGATAGAAAAATGGCTCTTGTCCCCTCCCTCTAAAGTCAGTGAGCTGCTTTGGTGTGGAGGGGATGAAGAACCTAGGCATCTAGTCTAGTCACTGACTAGAAGTGATAAGAACTTAGCTGAACCTGGACAGGTCAAATCCAGGGGCAATCTTTGGAAGGATCATCACTGGTTCTCATTCCTCCTCTGACTGGGATCTTAAGACTGTCGTATCTGATAACTGTTCCCAGCCTCGTCCAGGCCCACACTGGTTTATATCCTTCCCACTCTGGGGACTGAGACCTGGTGAGAGCCTTTATCCCGACCTATTCTTTTCCTTCCCTTACTCCCACCATGCCCCTGCCTTTGGGGAGTTTTTTGTATTCAAAGGGCAGTCCAGGGGAAGAATTAGTCTTTTCTGCTCCCCCCCACCCCTTCCAGGGCAGAGTTAGGCAGCTTTGCATTGTGGATAGAGAGTCAGAAAACCATGGTCAATGCTTCTGACACTACTTAGTGAGTGAGTGGTGAGACTGTGGGGAAATCACCTGAGTGCCTGGTACACGGTAAACACTTAATAGATGCTTCTTGACTGTTGGCAGACTTTTGGAGCCTCAGTTTCCTTTAGGGCTAGCTGGCCTCACAGGTTCCTTCCAGTTTTACATCTCTGGTCCCAAGTTAAAGAGCATCAAGTTTGGTCTTGATGCAAGGAAGTCCCCATAAGAAGAGCCATGGGAGGCACTGCCTCGAGAGGCGTGACCTTACCACCAAATCCTGAAGCACAGGCTGGCTGGCCAAGTGGATGGATGTGGGAGGGGGGAATGTCTCTTTAGGGACGGTCTTGAGCAGGTGCCCTCGGAGGTTGGATGTGCTCTTAATTCTTTCTTTCTTCACCTTTGAACCTTTGTGCTTTAGACTGGCTATCACAGTGGCTCCAGCACCTGATGGTTGATCCATCCTACCAAACATCACCATCTTGATGAGACTGCTCTCTCTCCCCCTTTGGCGGCAAGATTTTTTAGTGAGTTGTTTAAATTTGGTGACCAGTTTTCTGATCCTCAGTGAAAGGCCATGCATATGAACTTGTAATATGGAAATCCCACCCACTAACTCCTGGGCAGTGGTAGTTTGACTTGGGTTGGGATGGTGGGATACAGGGAGCACTTGTCTGTGGTGAGCTTGTCTACACAGGACAGGAACAACACAGTTTCTCAGCCCTGGGGGACAGGAAAGATTGTGGGAAGAGACACTGGCCTTCTGAATATTAGGACCCAGGGAGTGAGATACCCTGGACACTGCCTCATGGCAGGGATGGGGGGAGGGGACAGAGTCTAGAGAGGTAGGTGCCAGGAACTCACTTGGACCTGAGTCTGGGCTAGAGAAGCCCCTGGGAGTTCAGGTATCTGAGGATAGTGACTCCTGCTAACTAAGTACTCAGGTCAGTTGTTTCTCCTGAAGAAGGAGTTCAAATGCTTTCAGCAACCTCTATACTTCAACACTGTGGTTTCAGGCACCCAGACCTAGTGAGGAATGAATTTGGATTCCCATGATAGGGGATGGGGAAGCCTCACCTTCCCTCTACTTAGCCAAGGGGCAGGAGGGTTATACTGAATTAAAGCCTCTATATGCAATAAACCAGTCCAGGCCCTGGCTGCTCCAGGAAATCCTGGGACTCCAGGCTTGTGGATGTTTCCACCCCAGAGGAAATGTTTCTGGGAACCAAGTTAGGGTAGCATCCCGTCTCATTGGCAGGGGCGGGGGAGTGGCTGCAGCTGGATCTGGGCTGAAGGAAATGATTTGGGCATCCCGAGGGGTGCCCCCAGGGGCTAAGGCCTATATCTCCACGGGTCCTATGTCTAGCATCTCCCCTCCCTCCCCCAGCTCTTCCTCATCCCCCAGGGCCTTCAGGAGAACGGCCTTGAGGGGTCCCCGGAATCTGCGTTGCCTGAGGCTGCCCACGCAGAAGTAAATCAGTGGCTTGGCTGAGCCATTCACACACGCCATCAGAACACTGAGGCAGTAGTAGTAGGCGGGGATGTCCAGCCAATTCAGGGAGAGCCTGTAGATGCCAAAGGGAAGGCCGCAGAAGAGGAACGTGAGGACGGTGAACAGAATAATCAGGTAGAATTTCTGGGGCCAGCGGCGCTGGGAGCCGCACTCCACTCTGACGAGCAGCATCAGACTGGACACGCACATCGTGGTCAGGAGGAGGAAGAGCAAGCCCACTCGGGCCAAGCCAATCCGGCTGCACACGGTCCCCACGTCGCCCCCGGACAGCTCTCCGCAGGTCCCGTACGACAGGAAGTGCAGCACGAGGCAGAGGGCCCAGAGCAGGGCACACACGATGGCCGACGTGTGCGGGGGCCGGCGGCGGCCGTAGCACGAGGGCCACAGTGTGGCGGCACACTGCTCGGTGCTGATGGCCGCCAGGAGACTCAGGCCCACCGTGTAGAAGAAGAACCTCAGGGCCAGCAGGCTGTCATAGACGTAATGGGGGAAGCTGAAGTGGTGCTGGAGAGTTTCAGGAACCACGATCACCAAGTGGCAGCAAAGGAAGAGAAAGTCGGCGCTGGCCAAGTCCAGGAGGTAGATGGAGAAGTTGTTCCGATGGATGCGGCTGCTCAGGAGACACAGGACCATGCCGTTGCCAGCCAGCCCCAGCAGCCCCACACCCTCCGTCAGAGCGAGGATGATGGCGCTGAAGACCAGCCCCTCGTCCTTGCTCTCACTCATGGCGAGACGCCGCATGTCCCCGCTCCAGTTACCATCACCGTGATCCCAGGCTGAGAACACGGGAACCTGCTCTCCGGCACCTGCTTCCATGCTCAGGAATCCTCGGTGGGAGTCTGCCGCCGCCCAACGTCCCTGCGAACACAAGGACAACATGGCGATGCACCAGGAATCTGGGTGTGGCAGGGCTGGACTCCTTCCACATCCCTCCCCGGCCCGGCCCCGGCCCCTCGGCGATGCCCAGGGGAGATAAGACAGAGGCCAGAGTTGTGAGCCACATGGGGACAAAGGAGCCCTTTCCCCATGGAAGGACTACGCAGCCAATCTATGATGTAATTGCCTGGAATGACCACCCCCTTCACTTTCCAAGGCAGCAGGGGACAACAGCCGTCACCAGGCACTGTGTCTAATTGCAGAAGGCTGGAGAGACTCGGCTCTCCTTGGAAGTTAATGCATGGACGAGCTGCAAGTGCTTTGAACAGAGCCTAGGGAAGCTTCTCTCAGCTTGGAACTGGGCTGGGACTTTGGGGCACCATTTCTCAAAGAGGGATGCATTCTGGTTTTCTGGGATGCAGATTACAATTAAAATTGGGAATCATCAAGGAAAGGAGAATTCTACTTTAGAGCCTTAGAGGCTCTTTGGTTCTTAGAGAAAAGCTGTACAAACATTGTTCGGTGTTGTTTAGGGGGTTAGGTGGGGGCTGCCCTCTGAAAAAGGTATTTGCCCATTCCAGTCTTTTCTCTCCTTTTCAGTTTTCTGAGGAGTTTCTACTGGCACGTGGGGATGGGCTGTTTTTGGGGTAGAGGGAAGAAGCAGGCTTTTGTTGCTTGACCTTCAGGGTTGGCTCACTCCATAGCTGTGGTCTGGGACCCCTGGACTTATCCGACTTGGCGGTTGCCTGGGGACTGAAAAGAGGGGGCAGCATGCCTGGACACTCCAAAGTTTCCATCTCCTTTACCCTGACCATAGCCACACCCTGCCCTCTCTGACTCTTCTGAACCTCAGCAAAGCTGCAGAGTGGACCCTGGATGTGCCCTTGTGTAATTAGGGCCTTGTGGTGAGGGGAAGATATTTACCAAAACAAGTAAACTGAGGAGTAGTTTTCAGGCTTCCGCCTTGCCCAGACTGGTGTCAAAGAAAGCTTAAGTTCTATCTTTCAGAAACTTGTTTCTAAGTCCCCTTGCTACCCCACCTCCCCAGTTCCTTTGGACCTTACTCAAGGGGCTCCTGCCCAGGGCCTCAGGGCTTTTTTCCCTTTGCTCTCTGAGCCTTCTGTCCACCCCATCTTGCAGGGCCTCGTCAATGACTTCATAATGTTCTTTGAGCAAGTCCTATTCTAGCTGACCCCATCTTCGGCCGGGTAGAGAAGCCTGCATCTGACAACACTAAATCCCAGAAGGTCTGAGGTGGAAGTGACCTCAGAGACCTGGTCTACCAGCCTGTAAAGTGAACTTTATCCCCTGGGTAGAACTCAAGTGAATTCCTGAGCATAGACATAAGTACCATGAGCCAAGCAGCATCTTTGCCTCTTCAGCGCCTGGCCCATGGGAAGCAGTTAAATGTGAACAGTAGCGAGGGAGGGCCTTCCTCCTTCCCTCCCTCATTCCGGGTCTTTTGGAGGCCTGCAGGGGATGCATTGCCACCTGCAGAGGCAGCTTAGTGCTCTTTCAGGTACCTCTCATTTGAAGTTCTTCTTATGTCAGAGGACCTGGATTCAAATCCTGGCTCTGCTTTTTATAGCTCATATGAATGTTGGCAAGATTCTTCCCCACCCAGGGCCACAGGCTGCCCTCTATAAAATAAATGAGGTTAGAGTAGACAATATCTAAGGCACATTCCACACTGAGGACCTATGACTCTATTCCCCCAAACCTAATGGTGCGTGATCTCTCCCAAAGATTCTGCCTCCCTTCTCCTTCTGTCCAAACCTCTCATCCACTTGTGGCTTCTCTACCTGGTGCTGGCCTCCCTCCCCCATGGGGGGCAGGGCTGGAATTGCAGGACTGGGAGGGGCCTAATGCACTAACAATCAGACCTCCTCTTAAAGGACCGTGAAGAAAGGATAGGGAAAAGGAGACAGTGAAAGGAAGGAAGAGGAAAGACAGATAGATAAAGAAAGAGGCTCAGATGGCCACCCCCAACCCTGTCCCCAGGGCAGGGCTTATTGGCTCCATACCAGTTCTCCACCTCACCAGCCCCCCACTCCAGACCTAAGCTCCTGTGGGCTGCACCACTAGTTCAGCAGCCTGAGCCCCAGGAAGGTCCCAATGCTGAGGACCAACACAAGGTATAGTCAGGGAGCCCTGAAGGTTGGGGGGAGGTTGAGGAGAGGAGAAAACCAAGCAGGTTTCTTATGTGTATGGGGAAGCTGGGTGCCATGTGTATGGAGGAAAAGAGAGGAGAGCTTGCCTACCCCTTGGGCAGCCAAGGATCCTAGGGAGCCTCTTCTGTCAGCCCAGTGGCTTCGGGCAGCACCTAGCTCTGTCTTGTGCTCCATCCACCTGTAGTAGGAAATCAGGAGGGAGAAAGCAGGGGCTCCAGCTTCCCCAGAGTCACGTCTGGGAGCTGACTTCTTCCACCTTCCTAGGTGGTCTAAGGGCAGTTGGATCGCTTCATTACCTGCCTTCAGGGCAATGGGAAGGGCAGGGGAGGTGGTGCCTGCCTAACTGCCCTTTACAGGGCCCATGGGGAACAGCTGATCCTCACGTCCCCAGAGCCCAGAACCCAAGGAAGTGAGCTCATGTTGCAGCATGAGACATGTGGGATAGACCTAAGTCCAGTTTGGGAACAACAGATGCTCTCCGTGGAGGCTAAGTATTGCCAAGCCAATTAGGGAAAAAGCCTAAAGACTGCTTAGATCAGAAGGGGAACGTGGGTAGGTGGGGTCCCAGAAGCAAGGGGATGGAGATAACCCCCATCAACCCTCCCTCCATCAGCTCTTTTGTCTGGTGCCATGACGCCCACTCCCTTCCTCCCAAACACTTTCCCCAGCAGAGGAGAAAGAATGCGAGACAGAAAGCTCTGGGGTGACCCCCAAATAACCCCCCCCCCCCAAAAGAAGGGCTCCGGCTACGGACCCTTGCTCTCCTTCTCACCTTCCTGGGTGCAGGGGGCTTTGAACTGCCGACTCACACTGAGAGTTCCAGCTGCAGGCGCCTCCTTCCTGGCCCAGCGAGCGATGGGATCAGGGCGGCTCCCGGACAGCTGTTTGCAGGCTCCGGCATCCCTAGGCTGCTGGGGAGTGGGGCAGGGAAGTGTCACGTGGTGTCGGTCCACTTGTCAGAGGCTCCAGCCCATAGCTGCCTCCGCCTCCGCCTCCCAGCTACATTACAGGGGCCCGCACCAGCACCGCCTTTCCAGAACCATCCTCGGTTTCTTGCAGCTCGCTCCCGAGGGGCCCAGAAGTGGAAGTAAGGCTTGGCTGGGGGAGTGGGGGGAGGACGTCTGGGCAAACCTCCTGCCTGCCTTTGGAACAAACAACTCGTCAGTGTCGCTCCGCTTTCCGGGCTCAGTTCTCTCGAGCTCCTCATGACAGTCCTATAATGGGAATGGGGGAATCAAGCAGGCGGGCTCCCACATTTCCGGATGAGGAAACTGAGGAACCAGCAAGTGAAGCAGGTTACCCTGGGTCACACGGCTACCAAGTGTCTCCAAAGTCGAACCCAGGTTTCTCCTGACTTCAGGCTACCAGCGATCACCTCTCAGAAGTCTCTTCCCCAAGGATCCTAAGGATTCCCCACCCCCAACGCGGCAGAAGTACCCCTTTATTTAACCAATTCAATGCAATTCGGGGGTCTCCGATGGAATCTTGTTGGAAAGGGGGGAGGGGGATGGCACAACCAGGACTGCCAGTATTCCTGACTAGCTTTTTGTTTTCATGTTGGGGAGCAAAATTATTCCACCACGTTTTGCTTGAGCAGCTGTGGTCAAAAGTCTTGGAGCTCCCTTTGGTCCAGAGAGGGCCTGCCCTGTCCCTTTACAGCTGTGGCTCAAGGCATTGGGATGATGACTTTCATTCTCTAATTTTTGTTTGATTTTGTGGGGCTGCTAGAGCTGCTGCAAATGGGGCAATCTGAGACCCATCCAGCACTGTTGTCTGGTGTCCTCCTCCTCCTCCTCCCCCCTCTCCTCTCTTTCCTTCTCCTCCTCTTCCTCCTTTTCCTCCCCGCTCATCCAATATTTCTTAAGTATCTGCTACCTGAAGACCTGAGTTGATCCCAGAGGCTCTAATAGCACATTGCCAGCCCTCCCTGCCTCTGACACCTGCTCTCTGTCACCTAACCTCTAGGAACCCCACTTTCTCCATGGTGGGGAGGGGGAGGAGACAGCTATCAAGCAGCTGTCTTCAGTCATTCGATGGAACACAATTATAATTATTCCTTTGGGCCCTAGAGGGAAGAGCTGGGAGCAGTGAGGGATGTTGTGAAAAGGTGCAATGAGGCTCCAAGTTTGGAAAAGCTTCCTGCTACTGAAAGCTTCCCAGTGTGGAACAAGCTGCGGGGGCGGGTGGGGGGGGGAGGCGGGGTTCTCTTCTCAGTGAAACTCTTCTGGCAAATGATGGATGACATTGGAGAAAGGCTTTGTCATTCAAAGGTCCCTTTCATCTCTGATTCTTCGATCTGAAGCCTAGCAGGGCTCTGGGCTGCAAGGCACTTTGGAGGTCCCTACTCCCATCAAAAGGAATCTTGGACCTGAAGAATGTGAGCAACTTGCCCAAGGTCCACCTGAGCGAGCTAGTCTTCAAACCCAGGCCCTCAGACTGCATGGACAGGGCAGCCCTTCTCTGTGGTACTGCTCGTACACTCAGCAGGAGGGTGCCTGAGGACCTTCAAAACATCACCCAAGCTGGGGTTAGGATTTGGAAGGGCGGGGAGCAGTAGGTCTCCCTCTTGGGCATGAAGACATTGCCTGCAAAAGCTTTTTTGCTCTTGGGACTTGGGTTGGAGCTGACGCTAATTAGAAGAAATTTAATAGGGCCGAATCCATAGATCAGTCAGCCCTGCACTAAGCCCCAGTGGTACCAAAGATTAAGAGGAAGAGTCTGCCCTCCAGCAGTTTACTCTTTAAAGAAGGACCTAGCAGCTACCCACATGTGTGTATAGAATATGTATAAAATAAGTACAATGTAATTTTTTTTTTCTTTTGATGTGGGTGGGAGAGGTACCAGTTGCTGTGGAAGAGATCAGGAAAGGTTTCCTGTAGGAGGCATCACTGGAATGGAGTTTTAAAGGAATTGAGGGCTTTGAGGTGTTATGTGAATGATATCTACATTTTGAGTTCATGTAGCAGGTAACTACTGCCAATGTAGAAATCACAGAGGTGTCATCATTCTTACACACAGGTTAAGGAGGCAGAAAAATAAAAACCTGACCCCTGATTAGAATTCTAGAGACTTTTTCTAGAGAAAATTGCATCAGAGAGACAGAAAACTAATTTTTTTACGTATTACAATCTCACCATCGTCTTTGGTTATAAAGGTAAAAAAAGGCAGATTCATACTCCCACACTTCCTTCAGTGTCACAGAAGTTGAAAAAATTTAGTTAAGCAGATTCACAATCTCATCCATCCCCCAAGGAAACAAGTCTAGTTAAACAGACCCTGCAGGTAAACTAAGTCAGGTTACAGATTAAGCTACATTTAGCAGGAAGGGATTTATATGTTGCCAAGATAACCAAGGAGTTGGGACGTTTGGGATTCTTCAAATAACTTCCATCACCTTATCTGTCCCATGGCTTCAATCTGGGGGATGTCAAGCAGTTTTACCTTAATACTATTGTTCCATGAGTCAGGTTTTGATCAGGTGAAGTTACTACAACAGAAGACAGTCTTCAGGTAACCAAAAGCTGCAGGAGGAATGACCCTGAATCTTGAATAAAATAATAAATAAATAAACAAAAATAAAAAATTAATGGAAGGGAACAGAAAATAAAAAGTTGCCATCACAGTTTTTGCTATTTTGATCACAGAGGTCTGTAATACCTCTCTTCGATCCCACACTTATGAATGTCCATGTCTGTATTAGAATTTGGACATACACCTCTGTGGGCAACCATGAGCACCAGGAGACTTTAAATCAAGAGTGTGATCATCAATGTTAGATCATGTGAGGTATCCTTGATCCATCTGGTTCTTGGGAACCTAATCCAGTTATCCATTTAGTCAGCATAGTTGATTTTGGGCCTTTGCTGTCTAGTTCTTTGAAAGATCTTCCCTTGGAGATTCTGGAATAGGCCTCATTCCCAGGGCAATTCTGGAAAGGTGTTTCCTCCTAGTAGTCCACTTTCCTGGTTCTAAGTCATGCAGAGGTTTCCTAGGTAATGCTGTTAGAGCCTGCTAGAGATAAGACTTAACACAATTTAGTAAGGCCTGACACAATTTCTTACATTTTTTCTTTCATTAACTAGTTCATTGTAGTTAAAACCAGTACAAATTTTGCGGTGCTATCTGTATAAAAAAACAGAGCTATAAGAACATCGAATTGGGAACCCATGCGTCACCTGAAATTTCAGAGAATTTTAGTCTTCATACATCACTCACCTGCTCTTTCCATCTTTTCCTGAACCTGATAGGAATAATGCTATCTATAGGCTGAAGAAATAATCTTAAAAGGGATCCATGAGGTCCTGACTTAGAAAAGGAACTTTTCTTTCTCCTAATATTATCAGATAGAGACTTCAAAACAGGAAAAAAGCATGATTTAAAAGTTTATTTACAAGTATGAACTCAAATTTATATGCAAAATCCTTAATCCAATTTACCACTAAAATGTAATCAAAGCCTGATTATATCGCAGGAGAAAAAAAGAAGAGTTTTTTTTTTTTTACAAAAAATTCCTTTGCATATATTCAATTAAATATGAAGGATGTAAAGTACTTTGTTTGACTTTTTCAGTCTTGTTCTTTACCTTCAGGAACTGTCAAAAATTAAAAAAAATATATCATCCAGGAATATTGTGTTTACTTGTCCTTTTGTCATTGTTCTTATTAGAAACATTTGGAAGCCAATCACATGTATATCCTAGTTCTTAGAGAAAATAGCCTAATTTTGTTGCTTTTCTCAAAGTCAAGTTTACTATTCCAGTAACATTGAAAACCTTTACATAAAATTTTAAGTCAATTTTGATCAACTTAGCTCAGCTGGGGAGATGAGACATGCAAAGACATTGGGTGGATTGGTTGGGGATAGGCTGGGAATGACTTTCAGAATCAGAGTAAATTGCAAAGACTTACACTTGAGTCTGAAAAACTCAAATGGATTCTACTTTGTAATTGATTCTTTATTGCATTGATTTCACATTGTAATTGATTCTGTATCTGCATAAATCCTCTTTCTATGTCCTTGAGTAATTTAGATTTCCCTCTTAGTTAGTTTAAAGTTATAATCAAAAGAAAACTTGTTATCGCTCATGCTGGAAGTCACCGGGATAATTCCAGGGCATCTGTTTATTTTTAAGCCTCACAAATTAACTTGGTACCATCCCCAAAAGATATGTTGTCTGTCCTCTCTCAATTAGAGGAGCTTTTAATCTCTTCCAAGGAGACAGCAGAACTGGTAGTTTTGATCCTCTAGCAAAGATTACAAGATGTAGGTGGGCCCATAAAACAGTTAACATTCCTTAATTGTCAGAGAGGGGTGTGATAAGTTTCATCTGGATGTCAGCCCATATTTCTTAGTATAGCCAAACATAATATTCCATGACTACCCAGACCCCTTCTTTGTTCTATGTCAATAAAGAGGGTCCCCTCCTTCTCATTGAAGTCACTGGCTTTTTTGAGGTTGCCAGTCTGAGTTACTTTGTTAATAGTTCTATGAAGCACTGTTAATAAACTGATTTTGCTTGGATCCCTGTACCTTTATTTGCCTTTATTAATTTTTATTTGCCACATGTCCAAGAAGTCAACTTCCCCAGTTCAAGATATGGGAAAGAGGACATGGCTAGACATCAATTCATCTGAAAAAAAACTTGTGGTTTTAGGGTACCATGAGCTGGATATGAGTCGATAGTATGAGATGGCATCAAAAAGTTGATGCAATCTCAGGCTACATTACAGAGGCATTGGTTGAGGAATAAGGAGGGGATCCTACCACAATATGTTCCCTTGGCAGATCTCTCCTGAAATGCTGTGTTGAGTTCTGGGCTACCTGATTCTATTTTTCTTTGAGGCTTTGGATGTAGGAGCTTTGACTTTGT